CCCCGGGGGGGGGGGGAAAGAAAATAGAAAGTTGCTCATAATAAAACAGAAATGAAGGGTAAAGGCAAAATGTTCAAGAATGCTAGCTAGTGTTGAAACCATATACTCACCCCCTCATCTTTCACTTTCCCCCTCAGTTCTCACTGTGAACCTATCAGACAGTCACTTTTAATATCCCCAGTTGCTAGGTCACAAAACTAGGACTTAACCCCAGGTCATAGACAAGGAAGCAGTGGGTTCTGAACCTGGGTCTTCTTCATTCCAAACCAATCTTTTAATTTCGATAGCATTTTATATCTAAGCATACAAGTGTTAGCCCATAGGATCACACTGAAATTGATATAACATAGCCTTTGTAGTGTTAATCATCTTTTTTCCATGTAACTCCAGAGTTACACAAATGACGTGAAGGTAAAGACTCCATAAAAAGGGAAAACTATGGTTTATAATGTTATAAATGTTATAGTTTAAACTCACCGAAATTAGAATTCTTTTTATGATGATGTTATAATGCTTGTAGTTACTTAGTGATTATTATTCCTGGGGTAGTTAATTAATAAAGTTGGACCAATCTTCCAACCACTGATGTACAGCCTGGTGATGATAGTTAATACTGTATTGTGGACCAGCAGGTGGCATGGAGGTTAAGGTGGCTAGATACCATATGACGAACTGCACTGTCCCAGGCCTGGACATGGCAGCTTGAAAATCATGCTGGGCACATGTGTGTGCATGCCCAAGATCCTGAGAGGGGACTGGAGAAGAGGTTGTGGCATGGCCATCTCCCAGAAGGTGATTTCTCACTTTCTTACTTCTCTGTTTGTCTTTCTCTGGCAAGCGTACATCCCCTATAGCTAAAAACAAAACAAAACAAAAACAAAAACAAACAAAAAAGCTATACTGGGGCCAGCAGGTGGCATGGTGGTTAAGGCACTGAATTCCCACATGGCCAACTGCAGTTAGAGCCCTGATCCTGGCTGCTTGCTTTCTCACTTTTCTGCTCTTTGTCTCTGTGTCTGTCTCCAGTATGCACATGTGCCCTGTAGCAAATTAAATAATAATAATAATAATAAATAATAATAATAACAAATAAAATTAAATAAGTAACTCTTTTTTAAAAAGAATAATTTTATTTAACTTTGTTGTTGTTAAAATTATTATTATTTTGATTTGACAAGAGAAAGAAAGGGAAAGTGAGACAGCAAGTCACTATGGTCAGCCATGTGGGAGTCCAGCACCTTAACCAACACGCCATCTGCCAGCCCCAAATAAATAATTCTTAAAAAAAAATACACTGTATTGTATAACAGTAATTTTTTTTTTGGAGAACTTTTTGCTATGGGGTGTGTGCATTCACCAGAAAGACAGAGAGAGAGAGAGACAGGAAGCCAGAAATCACCCCCAGGGAGAATGGCCATGCCACAATCCCTTCTCCTCCATTCTCCTCTCGGGATCTTGGGCATGCATATACATGTGCCTGGCATGAGTTTAAGCCACCAGGTCCAGGACTTGAACCACAGTCGACTACATGGGAGTCCAGCGACATAACCATTACACCAGCTGCTGGTCCGTGTATACCAGAAATTTTCTAAGAAAGAGAATTCCAGGTGTGCACATCACACAGACAAAATGCAACTAAGGAGAAGGATAGAGCAGTCATCATTTCACTACGTCCATGTATATCAAGATATTATGTTGTACACCTTAAATATATGCATATTCTATTAAAAATAATTGGAAAGTAAAGATAGTAATTTTTTTTTCTATAGGGCGTGTGTGCTTGCCAGAAAGACAGAGAGACAGAAAGCGAGAAATCACCCCCCAGGGGGGATCGCCACACTGCAATCCCTTCTCCTCCATTCTCTTCTTGGAATCTTGGGTACACATGCACACGCACCCCTGGCATGAGTTTAAGCCACCAGGTCCAGGACTCAACCCGTGGTCAGCTACATGGGAGTCCAGCGACATAGCCATTATGCTAATTGCTGGTCCCAAGATAGTAAATTTTTTTAAAAATCCATGGAAGGGAACAAAATTCATCCTCTTCCAATGAAAGGAGTAGTCTGAAGAGAACTACTAAGAGAATGAGTGTGGAGGTTTCAAAGTCCTTGTGGAGTGAATATTACCGCAAGCAGTATGCCTCAATCGGAGAAGAGCATTGTAGTGACGTCAGCCCTCACTTTTCCACTCCGAGATTTTACTGCCTTCCCCAATGTACCATTAAAGCCCTTCAGCCTAAATTCACAGAAGCCATTAAGGGAAAATTTCTGAAACGAGGTTTTGGAACACATTTTCAACCTAGTCAAGTGGCTTTTACGTTGCTAGAATAAAATGACCTTAGTCTTTGTCAGACTAAGACTGTCAACATCCTCTTCCTTGAAACTACTAATGAGGAACAAGTCCCGTACCTACCAACGGAACTAAGTATATGCCACACTCAACACACAGGTACAGGGGTTCTCTCAGACATTTTGAATATCTTCTGATTTAGTTTCATAGGTTGTTAAAATTATTCTGGGTTCACAGAGTAATCATCCTTATCTGTGGCAAACTTTTCTCAGGTACAGGGTGCAATTTATTAAAAAGGTAGTGTGAGTGAGTTTCAAGTTGCATGTTTCTGTGGCTAAATTATCTCTGAATGTTGCAAATCTGTTCTACACCCTCCCTTCCTCCATCTCAATCCTTTCATGGATCCCATTACTTCAAGAATGATCAAGTCCAAACTCACTCATACAGTATAAAGGCCCTTTCATAAACTGGCTTCTGTGTTCTACCCCCATAGTGGGGCCCAGGGAACCCCCCCAAATGCTCACTGTGTTCCCTCACCAACTCACTTCCACACTTGCTTTGCCTGAATTGGTCCTTTCACCACTGTATTCAGACAATACAGATTCACCCTTAATCTCATAGCTCAGATGCCACTTCCTACAAGAAGTCTTCCTCGATTTTTTTTTTTTTGAGAGGTTTTTGCTATAGGGTGTGTGCGCTCACCAGACAAACAGAGAGAGACAGAGAGACAGAAAGCGAGAAATCACCCCCAGGGGGGATGGCCACACCGCAATCCCTTCTCCCCCGTTCTCCTCTCGGGATCTTGGGCACGCACGCACACGCGCCCAGTGTAAGTTTTAAGCCACCAGGTCCGGGATGCGAACCGCAGTCAACTACATGGGAGTCCAGCAACATAGCCATTACGCTAACTGCTGGTCCCAAGTCTTCCTCGATTTTCCCCTCCTGACTCAAATGTTCCTCCTATGTGTTCTGACTTCCCAGTAAACTTTTTCCTTCATAACATTTATAAAACTTAAGTATATATTTTCTCTAACTGCACCATGAACTCCTTGATGTCAGAGATGGTTTTTTGGTTAATGTTACATCACATCACATATGTTTCAAATGCCCAATCATCATTAATGAATAACTAAATAATACCCTGGGAAATTCTAGAGCTCTCAAGAAGGTCGATCCATGGGGCCAGTAGGTAGTGTGGTGGTTAAGGTGTTGGACTCCCATATGGCCAATTGGAGTTTGAATCCCAGACCCAGTGGTTTGAAAAATCACACTGGGTGCATGTGTGTGCATATCTAAAATAACAACAGGAAAATGAGGGAGGAGGGATATTATGTTGAGGTCATCTCCCCCTCCAGGGGGTAATTTCTCACTTCTCACTTTCCCTCTCTCTGTCTCTCTCCAGTGTGTGTGCACACCATAAAAAAAAAAAAAAAAAAAAAAAAGCTGATCCTAGCAGTATATACCAGAGTTCTGTGGCATACCATCAACACTCTCTGATCTTAAACCTGAAAAGAAACCATACTTTAGATTCTTTTCACCTCTTTCAGATCTGCATCCAGTAAATATCAGTTAGTGTTAGCCAGGTAAGAAAGAGGCCCAGAGGAGCCCTTCCAAGGAAGGAAAAGAGTTAGGTGTCAGAAAATCAGTTTAAAGATTTTTCAGCCTGGGATAGTGCTTAAGGGAACCAGATCTCACATGGCTGGCCACATGGTTCAAATCCTTGCCCTGGCAACTTGAAAAATACACTAGGCACATGTATGTGTATGTCCCAAATCCCAACAGAATGCAGCAATGGAAGAAAAGGAATTATAGCATGATTACACCCCAGTGAGAGGCGTTTTCCTCTTCTCCCCATCTCTCTTTCTGTGGCAAGCACATGTGCCGCCTGGAAAATAAACTCTCTCCCTATCTATCTATCTATCTATCTATCTATCTATCTATCTATCTATCTATCTACCTGTCTATCTATCTATCTAGGGCCCAATTTATGAGGACTTGCAGCTGTGGATTTTCCATTTTATGAGCTTCCTACTGAATCACTGAGCATCACTTTTTAAAATTTGTTGAATCCATACATCAGTTTGTTCACCACTCTTCTCAGAGGCTACCTTGAAACTTAAAGAATAATACAGAGATGAGAGAAGCCACAGAGGTACCAGTATCACAGTTTAATGTGATACTTCTTCAATTTTATATTCGTTTATTCATCAAACATTTAACTACCTTGATAAGTCACTGTACTAAGATAACAGAATCAAGACAAACAACCCATACCTTCCTCAGGAGGGGATGAGAAGGGTTCATAAGGAACGGAGTCAAAAAGGCATAAACCATAAAGGTACATGTTTGCTACAAGTTCAGAGAACACATATGAGGAGAATCTAAGAAAAATCTGGAATAAAAAGTAAGTGCTTAAACACTCAAATATATTATGTAAGCTTAGATTCTAACTAAACGGTTTGTCCAAAATGTGA